AGACAGAAGGATAATTACCCTAGAGGGAAATATGGAAGGAATGGGGAACAAACCAAAGAGGGAAAGATACAGGTAAATTTATCAGTGATGGCAAGTCAGTGGAGGTTTATACACGCGTACAATAAATACGGACAGGATTAAAATACAGGACAGTGCTAGAGAAGAGTGAGACAGCTAAGCTGCTATGTTATTCGAACGCCAGCAATCCTCCTGGCTCAGCCTCCTGAATGCTGGGATTATAGGTGTGCATCACCATACCTGGCTAAACTACTATGTTCTGAGCAAGGGGAAAGATATGATTCATATCCAACTTTCCTAAATAAAGGCTTCAGGCATTATCTCCAGGGGGCATAATGAAAGAGCAATGTCAAGTTAACAGGGATGGAACAAAATAATTTTAAAAATTAACCCCCCCACAAAAGAGAGAGAAATGAACACAGATCAGGTGAAACAAAAGGTGATAAATATTAAGCTGGCACACTCACTTCTAGCTGGGTTAGGAACCCCATCAAAAGTGAAGTCCCTGGGGTTGGGGGTTTAGCTCAGCGGCACAGTGCCTGGCAAGTGCGATGTCGTGAGTTCGATTCCCGGTACCGGAAAACAAACAAACAAGAAAAAGTGAAGTCCCTGAACAAGCCAACTAAAAGACAAGATTGTCCTACTGGATGTATGTATTTGCTTATTTATTTATTTATTTTTTTATTTGCTTATTGATTGAGACAGGATCTTACATGTAGTTTAAGCTGGACTTGAACTCACTATGTAGCCCCAGGCTGGCCTCGAACTCGCAATGGTCCTCCTGCCTCAGCCTCCCAAGTACTGGGATTATGGGTGTGTACCACTTGGCTATGTCAGACTGGGTTAAAAATAAAAATTGTACTCTAAGCTGCCAGCAAACATAGGGCAGCAAACTTACTCATAGTCCGTGAACAAGAGCTGCACCTTGAATGTAATGATGCAGAAAAGTTGAACACAAAACAGCAGACCATGAAAAACTAACCGCAGAAAGTGGCTGTAGCTCTCTCAGTAGTGGCGTGGACCGCTCAGAGAGGAGGACGCTGCAGATGCAGAGGAATATTTCCTCATGCGGAGGGTGAGTCCTTCAGGAAGATACAAGAACGCGACGTTGTAGTGCACTTGTTTAATAGCACAATGTCAAGATAAATTTGGCAGAATTTAATGGAATGATAAGGAGAGATAACAGATCCACATTTACAGGAAGTGTAACGTATCTCTCTTAATAATAGTGGAATAGGAAGATAAAACAATTATTAAGCCGGCACAACGGTGCATGCCTGCAAGCCGGCACTCTGGGAGGCTGAGGCAGGAGGATCACAAGTTCAGGCCCAGCCTGGGATACTTAACATTTTAGTGATACCTAGTCTCAAGTGATACCTAGTGTCAGTACTGAAAAAAAAAGATCAAAGATTTCATTAACATAACTAAAAATTTGGTGATATTTATGGAGCCACATGTCCAAAGCAGCATACACAGGTGTATATTCACCAAATGTTGGACCCTAAATCGAGTCTGAACATGCTTCAAAGGGTTCAAGTTGTACACTATGTTCTTTGAAAACAGTAGAATTAAACTAGAAACAGAATTAAACTAAAACAGGGGAATTAAACTAGAAATAGCAAAAGAGACATAGAAAATGGCCCCAGATTTGAAAATAGAGTAACATTCTCTTAAATAACTCTTCAGAGAAGGAAACACATTAGAAAATGTTTTGAAATAAAATACCACATATTAAAATTTATGGGACACATCTACATGCTTAAGGGGAGCTTTCCATGCATGCACCCTAAAAAAAGAAAGGCTAAATGTCGATGATTTGAATGTTCAACACCAAAGTTGGAAGAACAGAAGATGAAACTCCTCAAAAGCAAAAGGACAGAAATAATAAATATAAGGCAAATATTAACCAAGTACAAAACAAAAGTAAATAAAATAATAATTTTAAAAAAGGGCTGAGGAGCTGACGCACGCCTGTAACCCCAGCACTTGGGAGGCTGAGGCAGGAGGATTGCCACAAGTTTAAGGCCGGCTCGGGCTACACAGTGGGACCCTGTCTCGAAAGAAAGAGAGAAAGAGGAAAGAAAGAAGGAAAGAGAGAGAGAGAGAAAGGAAGGGAGGAAGGAACGAAGGAAGGAAGGAGAAAAGACAGAAAGAAAGATGGCAAAGTATATTGTGTAACTTCATGTTAATAAACTGGAAAGAGAACATGGGAAAATGACTAGAAAAACACAACATATCAGAACTCTATTTGGTACCTGTAAACATGTGGACCCACATTTTAAGTCTTTCCACAAAAAAACCTTCAGGCTCGGTGGCTTCGTTAGTGACTTATTTTTCAGCATGAGGGGAATACAATGCCAGCAGAAGGAGGAAGAGCATTTCAGGAGTCCCTTATGAGTCTGGCTGCATCTGATCCCAAAGCTCGACAGAGGTGCTGCTATGGCTGTGTCTGGGTGCCCCCTGAAGCCTCATGCAGTCAGGGGCGGCTTCCAGAGTTTATGAGTGATCCACTGTCCAATGCCGGGATTATGGGCATGAGAGCTACTGCCCTGGAGTGGGCAGCCTGCATGTGATGTAAGGAAGGGAGAGAAGCTTGCTCTCTGCGCCTCCTCCCTTATTTATTTTTTTCTTCCTGTACCAGGAATCAAACTCATGACCTTGCGCTTGCCAGGAAGGCGCTTTTGCCACTGAGTGAAATCCCCATCCCTAGCTCCTCCCTTTTTGCTCTTGTTGCTTTTGTTGTCTTCTGCCACCATGAACGGTTGCCCTGTGCCATGTGCCACTCTGCCTTGGAGCCAGCCGTGTATGGACTGAAACCTCCACAGACTGTGAACTAAATAAACCTTGTCTTCCTTAATTTTGGGCGGCAGGTGTTTTGTCTCAGCAATGAGAGAAAAGTAACCGAGACAGGTATGAAAAGAAAGAAGAATTGCTCTGTGCTTATTATTTGTAAAACCCAAATAAAATGTTAGGAAGCACATTTCGGTGATCGCACGCAGACATTGACACATGAGGAACAAACTGAGTTGACCTCAGAATGCACAGTTACTTATGATTCACAATTCAAGTTCATAATTTACCACATTATCAGAATAAGGAAAATCATGTGATCGTCTCAATATACAAAAATATTTTAAAACCCAGTTCTGGGGAACACCGTCCGCAAAGTAGTCACAGGAGGGAACTTCTTTAATGTATAAGCGGCATGAATAAAAGCCCGCCACAAATATCATAGGTCCTACCCGTGCAGCAAGTGTAGAGGGAGAAAGGATGAAGGTTAAAAGCAGGAAATTGATAGATGTTGTTCACAGACCTGATGATTGGATGGGTAGAAAAACATTTACCTGTACCGATAAACTGTTAAACCAGGCGTGGTGGCGCACGCCTGTAATCCCAGCACTTGAGAGGCTGAGACAGGAGGGTTATGAGTTAGAGGTCAGCCTGGGCTATATAGCGGGTACAAGGCCAGGCTGGACTCTAGAGCAAGACCCCCCTATCTAAGTAAAAATTAAAAAAAAAAATTAAAAAGCAAGAAAGATAAAGGAAAGTAAAAGCAAAAACTTAACACAAACTGCTTGAGATTGCTACATAGGAAACGGCAGAACATTAATCACACAGGACATGTATATGTGCTGCTGGGTCTGCTTCCGGCTTGTCGGTCCCGTTGGATTCGTCTGACTAGGTCTGTTCTTCCCGACACCATCCTGAGCTCATCCCCACGGCTCCTCCTACGCCTTAGCGTCTGGCAGAGCCCGCGCGGCCGAGCCCGCATGGCCTGTCTGGAGGATTTTCCTAGCTGTGCCGCGCTTGTTTATTCTTTCAAACGACCTTAGCAGCGACATACAGTTATTGAAAAAGCAAACAAATTTTAAGCCATACTTTGGTGATAGTCTCATTGGGATTGTGCTGTACCTTCATTCAGGGATGAGTGAGTTTTCTATTTCTTTTCTAGTTGGTGTTGGCAATGTTTATTTCCTTCAGGGTTTCCCCCATTAAATCTAAGCTCTTATTTTTATCAGCGTGACGTTTCTGTAATTGTCTTTCACTGCATATAGGTTTCGTTCCGGCTGATATTGCAGTTTGTCCCTGTAGCGTTGTTTATTTTCTCTCACCTCTGTTCTCCACTAGCAGTCTTCCCAGAAGGTTGTCTTTACTGGATCTTTTTAACAGATTAAATGGTTGTCTTCCCTTGCATTATCTGTTCTCTATTTTGTGTCGAGGGTCTCTTCATTTTCATTTTGCACTGATACGGGTATTAAATATAATAATTTTCCTCTGAGTTTTAGCTCTCTGTGACACACTTTTTTTGTTTTTGTTTTTTTTTTTGAGACAGGGTCTCCCTATGCAGTTCAAACTGGTCTTGAGCTCACTTTATAGCCCAGGCTGGTCTCAAACTCACAATGATCCTCCTGCCTCAGCCTCCCGAATGCTGGGATTACAGGCATGCACCACCATGCCTGGCTTGTGACACATGTTTTGATGTGTTGTATGTTTACCCTTTTAAAGACATTCTGAATTTTGTTTGATATTTCTTTTTTTAGCCTAACAGTTCTTGGAGGTTTTAATATTTATTTATTCACCTGGTGGTACTGGCGATTGGACCCAGAACCTTTCCACTGAGCTACATCCCCAGGCTTTTGTGATTTTGAGACAGGGTCTCACTAAATTTTAGGTTGCCCAGACTGGGCTCAAACTCGCAATTCTCCTGCCTCAGCCTCCCACAGTGCTGGGATCACAGGCGTGCACCACCACACCTAGCTTCTTAGGGGTTTTAAACTTTTCAAGTGAAAGTTCTTTTTTGTCATTAATTTCTAATGTTATTGTATTAAGGTCTCTTCACAAATGAGGCTGAGACAGACTCAAGTTAAGCGACTTGCTAGGGACGCACAGAAATGGGGGGGGACAGGGCTGGGACCCCCCAGAGCCCGTCTCCCTCTCACCTCCAGGGCTGGCAGGGATACAATGTTCAATCACCCTGGCGCTGCGGCCCTGGGAGATGATGAAGCGTAACTGATAAAACACTAATGGAATATTCAACTTTCATTTGGGGGGAAGGACAGCAAAACATCATTACAAGTAATAGAAGTGCATTGATTTCTGGAAATAAACTTCAGGTACTCGTGTGTCTGGTTTCTGTCCAAAGCAGAGCCTGGAACAGTGGTGGCGAACCTATGGCCCTCATGCCGCCCCCAGTTGCCTGGTACCACTGACGGTTCGGCAAGGTTCGCCGTCACTGTCACTGGCCTCGGGGCTAGAGGAAGGCAGGTGACAGTGGAGTGCAGAATCCACATGCGAATCACTGGGTCAGCCAAGTGCTTCCATTGCGGGGCGGGGTGGGGCCCTCTGAAAGAACTCCGGGAAAGATGCACGAGGACCCGCGCGCTGGCTCCTGCCCTCCACTAGTTGGGGTGGCCCCGGGCTCTTTCCTCCTCACCTCTGGGCCGGGCTTGGAGCTGCGGGGTCAGTGCGCTGCGTGGCTGAGACAGGTGCGACCCCGCCAAGGCTGGCAGCCGTGGGCTCAGATGCACAGTGGTGAGAGGCGAGGCAGGAACTGTGGCATCTAGTAGTACTGGAGGCAAAGAGAGCCTTAAAAAAAATTGGCCAGGTGTGGTGGTGCATTCTTGCAATCCCGGTACTCTGGGAGGCTGAGGCAGGAGGATCGCAAGTTAGAGTCCAGCCTTAGCAATTTAGTGACCTTAATGAACCTTATCTCAAAATAAAATATAAAAAGGGCTGGGAATGGAGCTCAGGGCAGAAGCCATGGGTTCAATCCCCAGGAGCACAAAGACAAACAAGCAAACAAGCAACAGAAGTCGGTATTTCCAAACCTCTTGCAAACCATAGGTCCCTGTTTTGAAACGGAAAGACTCATTATTATACTGAGCTGCGCTCTTAGAATTTTACAGTGACCTGGAACTGTGCCACATGTACCTAACCTTTCTTTGTACTTGTAGGCTCTTGCTTCTGTGTGAGGGAACCACGGGTTTAAGGTCAGGCCCAGTGAACTAAGTGAAAAATAAGAGCCTGGTGCTGTGGTGCACACCTATAATCTCAGCTACTAGGGAGGCTGAGGCAGGAGGATTGCACATGTGAGGTCAGCCTGTGCTACTTCATGAAAGCCTGTCTCAAAATAAAAAGAAAGAAAAGGGCTGGCGATGTAGCCCAGTGGCAGAGCACTTGCCTAGCACGTTTAAACCCCACTACGGCCAATAAGTAAACAGAATAAAGTGAGGGCATTAAAATCTGCCTTGACAGCAAACTTAGCTTGAACACAGAGCTGCCTTATCATTGTTTTGCTTCCTTCTAGTTGAGTTTATCCGCAGAGGAGCCTGGTTGCCTTTTCCACACGTTTAAAATAGAGTCTCTGGTATAGGTTTATTCTAAGTCCATGTTTATACCAACTGCCAAATGCGACGTGAATGTTTACAAACCCACACACATCTCTGTGGCTCTCGCGGGTCAGGGTACAGGCAGTGCCGCCGGTGATGTAAATAACGTCCCGGAAACAGCTCAGTCCGCGCCGCGCCGCGTCCCCACACATTTTCCTCCTCCTGCAGACTCCTGCAGTCTGCCAGCCTCCCCTCCGGAAGCGATGGCTGCAGGGTCGTTCGGTCCGCTGATGAGATGACAGATGCTATTTTCCCTTCTGGTCTTTCATCCAGAATGCAATGCTTATTTTTTTTCTCGGACAGGGATATCCCAGATCGCTGTGACACTGTCAAAAAAATTGCAGCAGAGATACAAGGTGGTGCAGGTATCGGCAAGCCTTGGGCTTCAAAAAGCGTTTGAAATCTTTTCTCCCGTGGGACATTCGCAGAGACCCACCTGGGGCCCTGATGCGCGAGGGGTGGGGGTGAGCACTGTTATCCTTATTGTAATAATCGCTTCTTACATCCTGGTTGACGGCTCTGCAAGGTTCGCCATCACTGTCGCTGGCCTTGGGGCTGCAGGAAGGCTGGGGGGCGGGGGGACTGAACATCTTTGGCTGCCCTGGATGTGTAGCTCCAGGTGGCCCGGAGGAGAAGAGCCCTAGGAGGGTCACCCACCCCGAGCCCGCCACCCTGAGCCCCAGCTTCTCCCAGTGATGGTTAGCACAACCCCCAAACACTGTCCCACTGGCAGCCGCCGTCCTAGACCAAAGGAGACAGGGCCTCTGGACGTGTCTGGGTGACACTTCCTCGGGGACGGGTATGTGTCATAGCTAACGTGAATAAGACTTTCCTGGATGGACTCGCATGCAACTAAATTGCTGTGGAGGAAGAGCAATTTTCATTTACAGAAAACCACCACGGACCATAAAACTTGCTCCCCGGGACGCTCATAATGACGGTGACCCTACCCTTCCCGCGCCCCCGCAGCCGACGGCCGCGGCTGCCGGACCTGAGGACGCCGGGTCTCTGCTTCTCCCGCTGACGAAGGGTGCTGGCTGTTTTTGAGAAAGCACACGGGAAACATTTACAAATAAGGGCGCTCTGCGGAAGTGCGAGGTCTCCCCGGCCTCGGTCCCCAGACCTGTCACGGAGACACAGGCACTGCCTTCCAGGAGACGCCTGCGAATGACCCCACCCGTGAGAGCACCCTCGCTTCTTTCCTGGTGTAGACTTTGGAAAACCCCGTTGTCCGCCTTCTCTAACCATGTGCCCACACTGCTTTGCACCCCGACCGAAGTCTTCCAGCCACCAACAGTGACATCGCCAAACACCGCAGCCACCGGCCCGTCCTGTGCCTCCCATGGAGGGCGTCTCTCGGGGCTTCTGGGTCCACACCCTCCACAAGGCCAGGCTCGGCTGTCTCCCCGCTGCCCAGGGCCATGCCACCCCTGCCCGCTCTGTTCTGCTCTGCTGCTGCGGGCTGGGTTTCCAGGGCAGCCGCTTACCTACCAGCTCCGGGATAGCCCTGACCTTTATCCATCCTTCCCTTCCCCCAGGGCCCAGCCCCCTCCCCACGCCAACCCTCCAGTGACTCCTGCTCTGCGGGCACCCCGTGTCCTCATCTCTTATCTGGGTGTCTTCAGCATCTCTTTCTCCCTTGGCACCCAGACCCCCACGCTCAACCCTCTCCCCGGATCCTTCCTTCCCCATTTAGCAGAGTTGTTTACTTTGAGACATCATCTCATGAAGTCCCTAGATTGCCCAGGCTGGGCTGGAACTTGCAATCCTCCTGCCTCAGCCTCCCCGAATACTGGAATTACAGGGATATACCAGCAATAGATCATTTTTTAGAAGCCCTTGCCTGAACTCCTTCTGCGCCCCCCCTCCCATACCCTCTTCAACCCACCTCAGAGGCAGGGCTCAACCCACCGCAGATGGAGACTGTCCTTGTCCAAGCCCAAGATGAGCGCTGATGGGCTGGGCTTCCCAGCAGGACCTGAGCCTGTGCCCCGGGGTCCTGCTGTGCCCCTTCTCCCCAAAACCCTGGCTTTCCCGGACCTGGCTCCTCCTGGCCGGCAGGGACCTGGCTCTGGCCCACTCCGGCCAACACGGGACTTACTAGAAGGCTACGCGAGCTCAAGGCCAAGGGGAAGAGGCAGACCCAGAAGAACAGGGGTGACTCCCAGGAAGGAACAGAGCGTGGTCCGGTGTCCCTGCTGGTGCGACACAGCCCCCGCCATGTGAAGCTCAGTGTCATCCGTGAGGACTCCGTCCAGGAGCATGCATTTCGTGGCCTCAGCTCGCCTCACCCCGGCCCCCAGGAAGGCAGGGAGGAGCGTTTCAGCCGGCGACTTGCGCAGCCTGTGTCCAACGGGCAAGGGCAGCTCCAGGCCAGGGCTGGGCGCGGTGTTGGGGGCAGAACGAGCACCCGGGGTGTGCAAGTGAGAGGGTTCCCAATCCAGCGCAAATCACCCAAACAAACACGGCCAGGGTCAAGTCCAGGACCAGCGGGAAAGTGAGCTGCGCTTCCAGTTCAGCTACAGCTCATCGTGGGAGGAAGAAGAGGAGGGGACTCTCTCTCTCTCTCTCCTCTCTCTCTCATCTGTACCTGCACATACACACATTCCACATTCCCGGTCTTCCCAGTTCCATGCTGGTCAGGGGACTTGGGCTTTCATTCCTAGAAAATCTGAGTATGCGTTGGCCTTTCTATTTTTTTTTTTTTTTTTTTTTTGGTTTTTCTCCGGTACCGGGAACCGAACTC